ACCGGTAACAACCTGAAGCGCAACTAGTTACACTACGAACCCTTTTACAGATAGACAGTTGTCATATTTCATATGCCAATATATTACGAAAAGTTATCGGAATCGGAAGGTGTGCAAAATTTCAGATCGATGCTCTTTATAGGAACTCCGCCGTTTCCTTCCCGATGTTAAAAACTGCGTATTCCTGTTCAAAGTTTAAATTTAACCAAACCGAATTGGTTTGTACAATTCGAAATTTCGCAAGATTATAATTATTAGTATCTGCTACAACAACAATAAAAAATATGATGGACTTCATTCTTATTTCACGCTTTCTTATTCATTTTTCGTTCATGTTTCCTCAAGAAATTTCAAATACTGACGTAGCGAAACGATCAATACAAATTTACTCATAAAAAAAAAAATAACATAATTTATGAAAATAACTTTTTTAAATGTTTATTTGTTGTAGCGCTCATAATTTTGAAAACATATTTGTCAGCACATTGTATTGATTATTTCTTCGAACTTGCCATATAGAATTGCAAATTAAACACAACACAGAAAGCAGTGATGAATCACAAGCTAAACTGCGACATGAATATAGATTTCAAATGTGAAACTTGAGTATTGTTTATAAATTTCTTGCAAACGAAAGCATAATTAAGCGCAATTGGAATGATCGCTTCATAAAGTTGGCATATTGATTCTGACTGTGGCGTTTCGAATATTTTAAGGCAATGTGTCGAACAGTAAAATCATTTCCGATGTATGTGAATGAGAATTATGACTTTATCTTCAGTTAAAAAATATGTTTATACAAATGGAGGCAATCGGTATGTATCAAACGTCAGTCCAACACGCCAACGTCTGTCTAACAAATACTCAAATCACTTCACTACCAAAAATTAAAAATGATAATATTTTATTTTAAAAAATCACTTTTAGTTTCTTTCTAACGTGAACTAGTTAATGAAAGTATTGTTCATCGGATTTTGGTTATAGTATTAATTGTATTTATTTTTTTCTATTACCTTCACAGAAACTGAGTTCTAAATTTTTTCTCGCGGAAAGAAATACGAGATTATATTTATAGTCGCGTAGACAGCAACTAATTCAAGTGATAACTGATAACTGATAAGAAATTAATGTTATGGTTAGGTTCATATTTTGGGAGTAATTTGCCACTTATGAAATTTTTCCTACAATTGGATGGTGATAGGATAGAAATAATAAGAACTCAGTGCTAACACCATTTTTTGATATCCGAATWGGCAGCAGACTTGTTAGATATCATTTTTATAAAAATGTAACAGGAGGTTTATTTTCAAAACTTACTCAGGAGTATAATTAAGCTTGACTTAATAGTTTTTGAGTCACTAAAATTATATTTACTGTGAGTATTACGCATATAACGTGTCATACAAGTAGAGGTACACTTTTTAATGTAGTTTGTGAGCCGGTGGAATCATCGGTTCATATTTCTTCATAAATGATCCCGATGAGAACGTAATCCTCAATAGCGACCGTTATATTGCCATAATAACCGACTAATGCCTGAAAATAAAGCTTGTGATCGCGGCGACATTTGTTTTCAACAAGACGGCGCCACTTCCCACCCATCACATCAAACAATGGATTTATTGAGAGAACTCTTTGATGAGCAGATACTTTCACTTTTTGAGCCGGTCAATTGGACACCAAAAGCGTGCGACTACATTAGACTTTTTCTTGTGGGTATATGTAAAGTCTAAAGTTTATGCGGACAATTCTGCTTCGATTCAGAGCAGTTGAAATGCTCGAATAAGTCATCGAAAATTGAACTGAAC